ATTCTAGAAGTTTTGTTACTTTTTATTTCTTTCCAAAACCTTCTCTTCAAAGCATTTAGTGTTCTTTTTATTTTGATCTATTACACTACATCTTTTCAAACTGTAAACTTTTCAAAATGAATATCCTTTTTAACAAAGTTTGTTTACAGACTCACTTTCACTAAAGGTCTCAAGTTCAAAGGAACAAAACTTCTAGAATAGAAAATACTTTATTGAAAAATTTCAGTTAGACACTTATATTGAGAGTTTATAGGTTTACACATATAAAATTGTTAAAAATGAAGACAATTTCTTATTGAATTTTAAACTGGAGGTTCAACACATAAGGATTGCTAGAGTTACAGGTTCACTTTTAAGAATGGTTACATTTTGCTAGCAACATTTAACTAAGAACATACTTTTATCACAGCTTCGAAGTTAAAATGGGCTTAAGCCTTTGAAAATTAAAAGATTGTTCTTGGAAATTTTATCCCTGGGCTTATTTGAAAAGGAACTCTTAAAGTTGAAGATAAAAATCTCTGATAATAAACTTGGTGCAACATTTTATCTAAGAGCACATTTTACCAAGATATTTTATGTATAAAGATACAAAAGCTATTAAAGATGAAACACTTTGTTTAATGCTTTATTATTTCTTGAGAAATAATTTTAAGAAAGTTCATATTTCAAAGACTATAACCTTCAAGAATGAATACTCTACAATGAAATATTCTCCAGAAATCATATTTAATGATGTCCTAAGATTGAATAAGATGAACAATTAGTGAAATTTACTAATCAATTAATCATTGGGCTCATTAATCAATTACATTCAACTTATCAGTTATTCTCAACTTGGATAGTTCGAATCATCAAAAATAATAATAATCAGAATCTTATTTTGATTAGCTGGATTTTTATGACATTAACTGAGTTAATCATAATTTTGATTAATCAATTATTTTATGTGACAATAATTGATGTAATCAATGCTCATAGATAATCAATTAAAGCAATTAATTGAGTTAATTACCCAGCTATAGATGAAACACCTAGCAATGACTATACTGACTTAAAAAGTTTGTGTCCCAATATCATGAAAAACCGTAATTTTAAAGGATCGAGACTTCCTGCAACTGATTGGAATTGACTACACTTATACTTTGTTGAAATATTTTATCTATAGAAAAATCTTCTGCTTAATGAATCCAAATTTTGGACCTTAAGTAATTTTTTTAAAAGAGCATTTTTTTCAAAATACATGATGTAATGACAGGCTTTGGGTTTTAAAGATTAAAACCTCAGAGAATGAATGTGCTTTGACAACTGACTATATCTATATTACATGAAGAGTTTCTCAGTTTAACGGGTTGAGGTTTCCAGTAACAAGGCTTTACATCAAGATATGCGATCAGGGAGCCTCTAGGTTAAAAGGTCAAAACAGATTATGAATATACTTTGCTGATATATTTATCTGGAGGTCCACCTTATGAAAACTTGTGTGTTTAACTGGTTGAAACCTCCAAACAGTTTCTATCAACAGAAGTTATGACTGTGAGATATACCTTCATAATGTCTTCTAGTTGTTAACCTTTGCACACAAGGTCAGTCCACTGGACCAACCCCATATCTGTGGTGCTATATATAATAATGTTTACTATAGTTCTAAATTTATTAAGTGTATCTTCACAAAATTTGACAAGCTTATAGTAAACAATACAAGCCGGTTGTACACAAAACAATCAGGTTTTTAACAAAGTATTTTTACTACAGAAATGGCTGAGAACTTAAGAAGCCTTTACTGAGTCAGTCTGAGTGCAAAGTGATTTTCATGTTAATAGTAAAAGTACTTACTTTAATCTTACAGTGTCATATTTTATTTGCATAACTTCTAGAATTTCCTTAATGAATATCAAATTTATATTTTCTAAAACTTTATATTTTATTTTCTCTGCTCTAACACTAACTGTTACAAAATCATCAATGTACAGTGAAATGAAAAGTAAAGGAATATGAAAAAATGTAATAATACATTTTATTCTTTTAATACATCATTACTTTTTTCTCAACATGTTGATTAACCACAAAATAATTCAAGCACCTTTCAAATATGTATTTTAGAACACAAAAAATATATCGGGCACAAGAATACATGGTCCTAAAACTTCTGTAATTTATCTGGATTTCTAAATGAACTATAAGATAGGTTTAAAAAATTTTGTTACTACTAGAAACAACAAGTTATATCTTTGACTGCCAAAACTAAACAAACAAGTTTCAGATTCATGCATATTACAATATGCTTTTTCTATAAACATGTCCGTCAAACATGTAGAAATGATGTAGATAATTAGCTTGAAATGCATGAATAGATGGAAAGAGCTTCTCTAGTGAGTTTGATATCTCAGCAAATTAAGATGTACACAGTAATGATGCACTTAAAGTATCCATGTGCCTCATCACCTAAATGTAGTTGTGTACATTATGTTCATCACCATGTAATTGAGTGCCTTTGTGTAGTTGTGTTCATATTACATTGTAAACTTTATCCCAAATTTGTGCTTATGTAATTAATGTTAACCTACTAGTAATCTTACTGGTTAAAAAACAATAGTTATGTTTAGAAGTTTTTTGATTTATGATCAATGTCGGGAAGTAATATTTATTTTCATAAAAAAGTTCAGTAGTTTTAGTAGAGTAGTACTATAAAATTGGTAGTGAGAAACCCATATTTTCAGTTTGTTACAGATTTTGTAGTATATTGCATGTATAATATATTTTCATGCAAAACAGTTAAGGATTAAAAATGTAACTTAATCCTATATTAGTGTACCCAAAGATAGAACTTCCTCTAGCTTTCTTTTTTACCATGCAATTCATGAATAAAAATATTCACCATTTTATTTCTGCACAGCTCCAAGGAGTTTCACCCGTAAAAAGTGCATTTGTCCATTTTTAAGTTTTTTCTGCCAATCCCAAAGGATAGCTTTATTTTTGCTGAGAGATTATTACCCCTTAGGAGTATATTACCCATTTCTTGATTTTCAAGTACTTCCCTTGTCTTTTCTACTTAGTTTTTGTACAAGCTTGGTTACCACCCTTTTATGATGTCACACCAAGTGGTTTGATCATTCACTAACGAAACACAAATGTGGAAAAATAATAAACAAAGTTGGAATATGATTGGATAGAGTAAAAATTGGGCTTTTAATGTTACAATAAAGAAAGTGAGTTGAGCAATTATTTTTAGTCAGATCCCCTCTAGCACTGAGCAATGGCATTCAATGGGTAATTCTGATAACTAAGGAAGAATCTATCTATCTATCTTGGTAGTTATTTTAGGTTTAGTAGAAAACATAGGGGTATTCAGAAATTAATGTTATTTCCCTGGCTTACGATAATTTTAGCAGATAAAATAGTGGTTTCTCTGTGCTGTTGATTTTCCGTGGTTCAAGTGTGAGGGAAAGCCATGAAGAAGATCGAAAGAGCGGTTGCTTTCTTGATTATGAATTGAAGTGTATTAGAGCTTCATGCTTGACAAATGATCAACTAAACACGAGCAGTAGATACAGACAGCCAAGGCTCACCCCTGAGGGCCAGTGCACCCCATCCCAGAAAGGACATAAGGCTGGAACCAGAGTTTTTACTAATGAACAAAGGACAGAGAAGGGATTATAAATGTTCTTGTTTTTCAAGAAAGTGTTTGTTTATTAAATTGTATCTGGTTGAAAGCTACAGATATTTTCTTAAATGAGAAGACATCAGAGAAGCTTAGTTAGGTTTATTGAGTCTAGTACATGATGGCAAAATATTATGATGACACAACTCCTTGTTTATTAACAAATGCTTTTATGTTTATCCTATTCAAATAATGTACATGTATAAATTGACTATTTGGCTACTTAATTATTTCTGACTGAAATCATGATACATTTTAAATAAAATATTATTACTGTTATCAGTGATAGTATAATGTATTTAAATTCTTTGAATATCATTTTATATGATTTACAAGTGATCCATTAAGATTTACTTCATCCTTAAAAAAAAAAGGTGACCACATGGTCATTTTAACATTAAAGAAAATGTTAAAATTATCTCTTAAGAAATTGTTGCAGACATTTCTGCACAAATAATTGCCTTCAGACAAAAAAATTGTTTTTTACAAAATGCACAAATGGCAACCACTAGAAAGTATCTATCTAATTAAAGAATAATTTTTAAATGACTTTAAAAATAAAAAAGCTGAAAATAGAAAGATTAATCTCATGTGACAATAATTAATTAGTTGAATGTAATTGATTAATGGTTCCAAAAATTAATTAACAAATTCCACAAGTCACCCAGCTTTTATATATATGCCTTAAACGTAAGGTACAAATGTTCAGTACCTGAGGTTGCAATGATTTTGACTTTTCATGCTTGAGACTCTCCGTAGTATGAATCAAATCACCAAACAGCCTTTCCACAAGGTACACAGATTCCAGACCAAGAGGATGATGATAACCCATCTGGTCTAGTCTCTTCCTCAGAATGGAGTATTTGTGTTCCATAACAGATGGGTTACTTGACAAGGAACTCATGTTAATCAATAATCAATAAACACTGCTGTCTCCCCTTACTGCCACAAAATGAACATCATAGTTAGATGTCAACATATGGGGTCTTCACCTGTAAAAGATATTTTTAATCATAAAAGTTTAAAACTGATACCGCAGAAATAAACAGATATCATATCATTAAGCTTTAAAATATTTTTATTTTCTTTACTTAAATATGTATTATTTTTAAACTTATCTAATAATATCAAAAATGAGATTGGCAACTACCAAAACAATTTGACTAAAAATATTAACTATATTATGCTAAAATATAAGCTTCCCAAAGCATGTAAAACAAAAGGACAGAAATACTAACTTTACAGATCAGTATTCAAGTGTTTAATAATATAAATCTTCTTTCAAACACAAGTAATAACCAAACTGTGACAGTAAGCAATATGGTCACAATAGGATCACTAAATAACCTGATGAAAAATTTCCATCTATTTAATGGCATGAGCTAAATAAAGCCATTGTTATAGATTATTATTTTTCTTTCTTTTTTCAGAGTTACGAGGTTAAGTTTAGAGATTGTTCTGGGGGCGGTCAGTAGGATAAAGCTTTGGATACCTTTGAGCTGTGTTCTAAAGACAATAGGACACAATACTAATGATTGAAAATATGGGCTAGGCTCCAATCAAAAGAGTAACAGATGCCAGCACATTATGGGAGTTTAAGAGGAATCAAGAATTTCCTGAAAAATAAATGGTAGGTTTAAATTTTATCTACTTTTACTTTTCTTCTCCTTAAGAACAGTATTGAAGGACCAAATGGTCACTTGTTGTCTGTAAGTTACTATATATATATATATATATATATATATATATCAACGCACACAACAAACAGCTAGTAATTACTATTATTCTTTCCTTCAGATAGTTAAATTAATATAATTAGTGATGTTATTCTTTGTAAA